TGATTTAAAAAGTTTTTTAACAAAAAATATAAATAATATTGAAAGCTTAAGAATTAATATCGAAGATGGTAAGTTTACAAAAATTGATAATGATCTTATCATGAGAGGATTTACAGGATTTTTATAATTTTATATAATAATAGAGAAAAAATTACAACTACTCTTTATAAAAATCAAAAATTGTTTGTAATTGAAAATTTCTGTAAAGAAACAAAAGTTTATAATTTAAACGAATAGAATAAATAATTATTAGTTTATTATTTATATATTTTTTTATATTTAAATAAATATATCTATAAATAAAAAATTATCTTTAAAATGTATCCATATCATTATAAATCTAAAAAATATTATTATAAACCACCTAGGTTTAATTATAATCAAGATAAATTATTATAATGATTATTATAAAGCAAACCCTAATCATACAATAAAATTAAAAAATGAAGAAGATGATATCATCTCTACCACATCATCAAATCCTAAAAAATATTCGTTTCATTATTTTATCGAAAAGAAATACATAACTTTTATGTTTACTGAAAATCAAAATTTTACAAAATTGGAAATATACGATACAAAAAATCCTATCTTAATTAGTGAATTAAATTTGTTAGGATTTACCATTTTAATCAAAACCAAAGATAGTCAATTTTTAGATTTGTCTGAAGATAATTCATGTATCGAAATATATTCAACTATTTTAGATTCATTAAAAATTTTATATCACAATAACATCATTTATGAACTTTAAATTATTTATTTATTATTTATTATTTATTAATTAAATTATTATAAATAAAGATACCAAATTTTATATAATTGAATTTACAAAAAAATAAACAATATGCCTAATGTAAATCAAAATATAATTGACAGATGCCAATATTTAAACATATCTCTTAATGATCTTATAAGCAAAACAAATGAAAAATATGGTTATGTTAACAAAAAAACAATTAATAAAACATTACATGAATTATCCAAAGAAAAAAAATTCAAAAATCGAAAAGAGTATGATAAACATAAAGAAGAAAAATATCTACAAAATTCTGTCATAAATTCATTTACAAATACTGAGAGTATTTTCTCACCAGATATTGTCACATATAATTTATGTAAAAATAATAACTATAACCATGAAAATGATAAACATATTCTTTGCTTAATAGATGATGTATTTTTGTGTAAACAGCTTGTCTGTAGTAACTCTATTATCGATAGAAAAGAAAAAGAAAATTTAATTTATTATTTGTAATTTTATTAATAAATGTATGAATATTTAAACCATCAACATGTAACTTTCAAATTACCAAAATAAAATGAATTCATTATCTTTTGAAATTCTTTCAATAATCTTTTCATTTTTAATTTATAATGATCGTAAAAAATTTTTCAACTATGTTTTGGTTTCAAAATTATTTGCCGTAGCTTCTCTTCCTTATTTATAGGAAGATCCTTTTTATTCATGTATCGGAAGAAACTATATGAGCTTACAAAAAATAATTTATTATTATTTATCTGATAAAGAAAGTATTTTATTTCAAATTTATTCTTCTTACCTTGATAATATGGAAAAACCTCTTTTTGATTATATATCCTACATCAGACAAATTTGTGTTAATAGTATTTTTAGTATTGTTACTCATGGAATTGATTATAAATTCGATCTTCATAAAGATTGGAAAACCCAAGTCACAAAAACTATTCTCGAATTAATATTCAATTATTCAAAAAAAATCACTTATTTTCAACTTTCAAACAGATATAAATCTAACATCACCAATCTTATAGTTAAATACAATTCAAAACATAATCGATATATTTATCTGGACACCACCCATCCTAGTGATTTACTTAAATTCTATAACATGTACGGAATCGCCCTTGGGTATGGGAAATGAGATCATTCTTCATTTTGTATCTCTACCAATCTCCAAATTTTTAAAAAAAATCAATTTAGAAAATATTACAAATATCAGATTCAGAAATGTTAAATTTACCAAAAAGGAAGAGGAAATATTAGATTATTTTGTATCGTTGAAAAAATTAAAATGTCTTAACTTTATTAATACAAATATTGACAACATTAAAACTATTTATAAAAAATTTGAAAATTCAAAAACTTTAGTGTATTTAAAAGTTATCTCGTGTAATCTTAGAAATTTCGTTTTTACAGAAAATTTACTCTATGAAATTCTTAATAATAAAAATATTAAAAACATCATTATCGGATTTGATTGGAAAGAAGAAAAATTTATTAATCGATAAAAGAAATTCAATTAAAAAATATAAATGTATTGTGATAAATTATTAATATAAATCTTCACATCCTTCATAATAACATTTTATGTCGAAATCATAATTTGTTAAATTTATGATTAATGATTTACAGTTCAATTCATGTTTCCAATATAATGTTTCATTAATTATCTTTTCGATTAGTAAAACTTTATCATTATTTTCATTAATATTATGTTTATTATTAGCACGAGATAATACAAGAAAAAATAAAATAATAATTAATTTTATAAACTTCATTTTTTTTAATTTTATAAACGAGATTCTCAAGTCATTTAAATATTTATTTTATTAACAATTTTTAAATTAATACATAATTAATTAGAAATTACAATTTTTATTATTATTAAAGTTTGATATGTTATTAGCTACATTTAAAATGCATTGCCCAGAGTCAACCAAACGTGGAGGTTACATATCATTGACTCCTAAAAAAAAATATAAAACAAAGAGCTTTCATCTATTTTAAGGGAGGAATACAATGGATCCTAAGCCATAATGTTGTAAACCTTGACTACTTTGCTCAATGTTTAAATTTGACCAATCGTCCTTACTCAAGTATATGAAGAAAAATCACGAATATAAAATTCTCCAAATTCAAATATACAAGGCGTAAGGGGAAGCTCAAACTAGCTTAGTTTAAACCTTATGCTATTCACTGTATAAACAGTTACACTTCTTCGAATTTGGATATCTTATGAGTTTAACACAGCCCAACAATTCAACGATAAAATTAATTATCGATATGTTAGGTTTTCTTCATAGTTATGTATACTTCAAATGTTCATCATTATAAGAACAAAAGATAAATAATCAAAATAGCAATTTTATCATCTTTATATACTTCCAATTTTTAATTAATATTGAAATCGATGAAATATTGTGTAATTTGTATATTATTATAGAAATACCAATTTTAGATATATGTAAATTTATTTAAAAAACTAATAAATGATTTACAACATACATGTAAAATTAAATATTTAACAAAGTTTCTAAATTCCAAAATTCCAAAATTCTTATAAATTTGACCAAAAAAAGATTGATAACGAAATTGACTTTTTATTTTAATGACCAATCAAATTAACGATAATGTTGTTGATACAACAAAATTTAATTTCGATACGGTTAACCAAAAATAAATTCGTAATTGATAAATTCTTCATCGAAAGTTAATAAACTCTTTTCTGTTTCTTGAGAAATTTCTTTCTTAATCGAAAAAATATTTAAAATAGTGATTTCTTCATCGTTCGGAATAATATATTTAAATTTTTTTAAATTCGTCGTTGCAATAACATAATTGCATTTAAATCCGATCCAAATTTCATGAATCTTTAATTTTATCATCATTAAAGTTACAGAATAAAATCCGAAATTTCATTTTTTTATAAAAAAATCAAATTAATAATCAAAAACAAAAAAATTTTAATTTCATATCTATATACAATTAAAGAATTTTAAATTTAAGCAAAATAATGTAGAAGCATTAAGAAATCGTGAAGATACTTATTACACCGAATTTAATTTAAAAACGATTGAATCTATAAATTCATTGAATTGTTTTCTAACCAATTCTAAATAATCATTAAAAAGTTCTTTTCAAATTTGAACCTCAACTCTTTTGGAAAGTAGTTTTAAATTTGACGAATGTGTATAATAAATATAGACGGTGAAAAAAAATAAAAAAAAAATGATAAAATTAAAATACTATTTTTCAAGAGCGAAATAGTATTTAAAAGTTTTTCATTTGTTTTTTTGAGAGAAGCTATCTCGTGATTATATTGCTCAAATTCCTGAGTGACACGATCAGTAATTATTTGTCTTGTTTCTATTAAAATAAATAATTTAATTTTTTTTAACACAAATTTTAATAAAATAATAATAATTACCTTCAAAAATAACCTGATCTGAAATCATTTTTATTCGATTTATTTATTATTTGAAATTACACAAATTTTAAAAATCAAATTTAAAAATTATGGCTCTTAAATACCTTCTGGAGCTGTTGTAAATGAATCTGATATTCCCACAAGACCTGGGTAAGGTGGATGTGGCGAATCTGGAACAGATAAATCTGAAAAAAAAGTTTCTCTGCGAGTAGAAGATAATTGACTTAGATAAAGTTCTTTTTGATTAGGAGCATATCGTCCAGATTCAGTTCATCTCAAAAGGTATGACATAGCGATATCAATTAATAAAACAATATATAAAGCTTGTAAGAAACACATAAAAAATTTATTATTGTTCAAGTTGCAGAAATATTTTCTTTATAACCAATCTGAATATAACTAAAAATAGTAAATCCAAAATAAAGACATTTTTGGACATATTAATATCAGTTAACCAAATCAAGTAAATAAATCTAATCAAAGTATTGTTTATATGGGTTATTCTATATACACAAATTTAGGATTGCATATTTATTGGAGTGGTAAAGTAGCTCAATTATATGCATATGATGGAAGACAAGTCGAACTTTGTTTTCACAGATATTTAGAAAATTTAGTAAGTCATCTTCAAATCACTGAAGATTACATAACTAGTAAAATCAATAAAATAAATCAAACTAACAACCAATTACAAGAATTAATTAAAAAACTAGAAAATAAAAATAAAGAATCAGAACAAAAAAATAATTAATTAAATCAAACCAATAATCAATTAAATCAAACTATTATCAATTTAAAAGAAAAAATAAAGAATTAGAAAAAACAAACATATCTATTAATAACGAATTACAAGAAAAAATTGACAATCTAAATTTATTAAGACAAGAATTCAATTCGTTCAAGAAATCGATCGAAGAGCAAAAAAAGATTAATATATTGATAACAGAAATTTGTACAATGCTAAGCATAAATTCAGATAATAATTTATTAAAGATATTTAATGCTTTATTACCAAATAGCAACACAAATAACATAACAAATCAAAAAGAAATCATCAAATCAATATGTTCTCGATATAAAGTATATAGAAAATAACGAGAATCAAAATCTTGTAAACATAAAAAAAGCCATTAGAAAAAGAATATTTATAAATAAATAAAATTTTTATTTTATTATAATAATTTATTTTAAAAAATATACAAATTTTAAAATAAAAAAAAAAATAAAAAAAATAAATTATTTTTTAATAAATTTTCGGCTTCGTATTTATCTAATAATTCAATATTTCTATCAGATAATTTTTTATTATTAATTTTAACCTCGCTTAATTCTCTTTCTAATCTTTTTATATTTTCAACCAAAGACAAACCTTTGTTGTAGTTGGAGAAAGCCTCTTCACAATTTTTCTTTAGTTTTAAACATGTAGTACACAAGTATTGATTGTTGTTAATTTTTTTCTTAACTTCAAGAAGAGAAAAAACAACTGTATCGAGATCTTTCTTCAACTCCATCTAATAATAAAAAAAAATTATTATTAATAATTTGTTTATAAACAACGTATAAAAAATTAACTAGTTAAAATATCATAAGAACAAAACAAAAAAGGCGAGTAGCGCTATTGAAATTCACAAGTTTAAATTTGACTAAACCTGTGTCGTCTAATAACTGTTGGTCCTAGTTGCCAATCAAGAGAAGACGAAAAAACATTGTTCTTTGCTACCAGTAGACTAAATAATCATGTATATATAATATTAAAAAAATAAAGAAAATACTAACGTTTCGTGAGAATAAAAAAAGTTGTTTACAAAAAAAAAGATCATCTTGATTTTAAATAAATATTTATAGTAATTTGTGTAATATGTTTACGTACACAACAGTGATCTTTTTTCTGTTACACATTCTATATATGTGATTATCTACAAATGTGATATTTGAGTAGATTAGACCCATTATTCTATATCAGACCCAAAAAGTATTTAGTTCTTGCTAGAGAATCTAGCATTTTATCAATTCTAGGTAAAGAATATTGATCTTTCTTTGTAATAGTATTTAGTTTTCAGTAGTTAAT